GCGGCTAAACCCCACTATTGAGCCAATCGTTTGACTGCGCCGCGACTAAGTGATTGACTTTTCAATCTATATAATCCGATTACTGATGGCATACGACACGATTGATTGTAACCTGCATTGACCGGCTATTTGAGTTGTATGTAAAGGGAATAAGGTCTACAGTGGCGCGGATAAACGCGACAGATGGCGGACGCGCTGTGTCGCCGAGCGTCCGCGGCGAGTGGCAATAACGGGCGATTTTACCCCACTCGCCTCGCGTTACTTAATTGTTAGAATGCATTACTTATAGTATTATAATATTATGCGTGTTTTACGACCGATTAGCATTATTTTGAACGAATATTTTCAACCGAAATAGATTTTTGTTATAATTATGTTCGTTATTAAGGATTAGCGCGTGATAAATTTCAATTTTGCATGAATATGTTAAGCTTTCGTAAATGATTATGTTATGAATTGTTATTTTAATGACCGCATTATTAATATCACGTTACTCTTTTGTGTTTTAGATTATATTTTCAAATCACAAAACGCTACGATGTCTAAATCTTGTCATGATGATGATATTTTAATTCCTGAGATTGCTTGAATTTACAAAATGCCTAAGAACAACTATAAATTTCAAATATAGTCATTTCACATGTTGCAGGATATACTAATCCTGTATAGAAGATAATGAGTCTATTATAACATGTACAAACTATTTCATTCATAAATATATCTATTTTACTTTTTATACTCTGTTCTGACACTGTCTATACGGGTCACAAAGTGTCCATAAAAGTTTCTCTTTTAGTTGGTCTGTACACGTTAGTATCATAGTTCATCTTACCTTAACCTGTGACTCAGTCATGCCGAGCGCGTATGCTAGCTTCGCGCGCTCTGGTCCGGCCAGGTACTTGGTCTGTTCAAAGGTCTTCTCCAGCGCGAAGATCTGCTGCCCACTGAAGGTGGGTCGTGTGTGCTTCTTCTTGCCATCCTTGTCAAGTCCGCCCTGCGCCGCGCACGCGCTCAGCGCGCCGTTGCTCACTAAACAAGGAAAATACTCGTTGTAACATAGTAATGTAGTCGGTTTTTAGTAGACAAACGTTAAAGGGCTAGTTCTCTAATAAGTAAGTACTTAGTCTTCTAGAAAACCTGTCATTGATCAAGCTCTCGAATAGCAAGGGTTATTCAAAAGACGGAATTGATGGCCGTGATGAGTTTGTAAGCGACGAACCACGTTAAAATCGAAATGATCGATGATAACATTACAACGTAACAGGTAATATGTTTAGATTGAGATCTTTAACTGATGGTTACTGACCACAAAATACTATCAAATAGAAATGTATCAATAATTCGTTCAGAAATACAAAAATAAATAAAGAATCGTTTTATTAACATCAGAAGAGTACTTAAGCGGCAGCGCCGGCAACAGCTCGTCCATGGAAGACGAACTTTCCGCAAATGTCTCCCGATGGAGACGGTTTTATCATTATTTTTTCCTG